TGCAAGTGCTTCACCTCAGGTAAACCATTCCTATATGCTGACGACCTCAAAGTCGTCTACTCCTGCTACACTCATGAATTAAGCGATATGGTTACTAAAATACATCTTGAACTAAGTAGTCTCGCAACATGGTGTGCTGATTCCTGTCTAAATTTTAACATTGACAAATGCGGCTGGATTTGTATCGGCAACAGTAACCTTGATCTAACTCTTGAAATAAATGGGCGAAAACTAGCTAAGCTCAACTCAGTCGTAGATCTCGGTATTAGATACTCTAGTAACCTAACGTTCGCTGAACAGACTGATTATGCCAGACGTAAAACGCGAAGGCTGATAGGATGCATAACACGCAATTTCTTTTGTTGTGAAACTAGGGTTTTATTATACAAAGTATGTGTCCGACCTATCTTAGAATACTGCCCGTTTATTCTTAGCGGACTAAGACAAAATGACAAGCTTAAATTAGAGGGAGTGCAACGGCAGTTTACCTCAAGAACTCTTGGTTTAGAAAGTGGTCTGGAATACCATGAGCGATGCGTAAGACTAAGATTAGAACCCCTCTGGAAAAGACGCCTTAAGCTAAACCTTATCTTTTACTATAAGCTAACTAATCTTCTCTTGCATTCCTCCGAGCCAATAACTAAACCTACCGCTGTCATCAGTTACAATCTTAGAAATCATCACAACCTAGCTGCTATGGAGCACTGTCAGACTTACGTGCGGTACAACTTCTTCTTAAATAAGTTTTCAGTCATTTGGAATAGACTACCAGCTAATGTGCGCGATGCAAACACACTTCCAGTGTTCATCTCCTCAGTCACCAGACTGCTCAAAGATGACAATGCACTTTTGCGCCTGACTCTTACACCTTCTTTTTCACCCTACATAGATATTTTAAGTTCTTTAAACGTGTAGTTACAACAAACTACAATTATAAATTTTAATATTATTGGAACTAGATGATTAACATTTCTACACAGGACAGTAATATATTAGTTTACACATAATATAAAAGTTAGCATAACGGGACTAGTTAGTTTGTGTACCAAAATAACCACAGTTACTAAACAGAATATATATGTATATATTTATTAATCACTCCTTAAGGACTCCCGTTGCTTTCTTTTGCGTTGCTGTTGTTTGTCTTCTTTTTTCTCTCACCATTTCAGCTTCCATTTGACTTTTTGAATGAGAATGAATAATGTGGATATTTGACCATTTACAATGACAAATGATCTGCAAACATTATTGGTCCCGTATCTTTCAGTTGCCTGGTTAATAACGAATTAACTTTCTCCACGACGCAACCTGGATTACATTTGTGGAATATACTCTTATACCAATGGAAAAGTATCTATTTGTAATACAACGTCACGATTGTAGCTTATAACATAACTGATCGTATCTGTAAAAATAGCTTCCTTATTACCCAATTTGGATATAAATCAAATCTCAAATAAGATTCGGATTTGTACACACCCAAGTTATATTGAGGAATTACTTCAAGCTTTATTTTTTCCCAAGTATTTTTAATCCATCCAAAACTTACTTGGGTTTTTTTGTTAATGCGAAGTTAATATTCCTATATTTCATGACGTGCTCCATTGAATGACTGGTTATCATATTGTTCCCACAGACCTAAGACAAAAACGCCAGCAACCATGTAACTTAACCATAAACCAAATTTATGAAATTTAAATAATGCTTATCCATGCCTGTATATTTGGTGTGTCCTACACAAGTAGGAAAAAATGTGTATTTTATTAAAACATTATTATTAATTATGATTGCTAATCGTATATGTAATTTATCATATTGATGATGCCTGTAAACTGGCGTCTCTCATGTACAAAATGAGAATATATTATTATTATCCTCTTATCTACTCACTACGAATTACCACTGAAATCGCTTGTCGCTCATTCTGCCTCAGTTCTAGTAACGGTGACGTATGCGAGCCTCAGTCGTTTACACTCTTTCTCCCCGGCGTGTCGGACCGCAGCTAACAATTATCTCCGTATGCATTTCATTCTCAGCAATAGCCTAACCTCTCCGGCGTATACGACCCATCTGCTGTCTTTAACATCAATCAATTCATTCACGGATGTAGAAGACTCGAAACAACTTCAGAAGTAATCACGACGAAAATTTTAACAAAATTATGCAGTAACAACAAGGTACGAAAACAACAAGTAAACACAATGAATCCAAAAAACACCAATTGATATAACACACCACACATATATACAAACAGTACAAACAAACTCGCAGATCGTGTCTCGATGAAATTCCTTGAAGAATCGCAGGACTTACACCAGTACGCCTACAACCCTTCACAGGTTGAGGATTGTAAGTTGTGGAATGTCCGGACACAAACAAGATTAACCAACAATTACAATAATTGGAACTCACACAACTATTTAACACAAACATATGTACAATCACTACATCAAATGTTGTAGATTCTGGCACGACAAACTACCCTTGAAGAACTGTAGGACTTACAGCAGTACGCCTACATTCCTTCTCAGGTTGATGATCCAAGTGAAAGTCGTCCGGACACAAACAGAATTAACAACAGCTAGATGACAGATGATATCAATTCAGTATATGCAATATGAACATATATACAAAATCACACACCAAGCACATTGGGCTGCTGATTGATGCACTGCCCTTTGAAGAATTGTAGGACTTACAGCAGTACGCCTACAACCCTTCTCAGGTTGACGCCCTAGGTTGGAAAATCGTCGCAGAGTTCATTTGCTGATTTCCTTCTATCGTCTATATCCTCAAATCTGAACGGTAACACGCCCATGTCATTGTATCGTAGAACATAGATGACGAACAAACACACGACATATCTGATCAACCAAGTGTAGAAACAGAGTAATTTACACCAAAGATAATAGCATTCAAATAGTAACTTGAAACTAGAAATGCCTTTATTCGTGCACGTCAATTTAACAATTACTCTCTCGTTCACACTTGGCTTATCCTCACTAAACTGACCATTGATATTCGTCCTTTCAAACGAACTGATACTGGCATAGTCATTGCACAAGATACTTGAGATGATGGGTGTCTGTTTCATTGTGGATGACAGCACCAACGACGACTGATTGATACCAATTGATGAAGTTAGCGGTGGATCAAAAGCTGTTGTTGCTCGGCTTTCAGAAAGTTGTCTACCTGCAAGACCAACACCACTGCTGTCTTTTACTATCAGCTCAGGTTTAGCACTAGCATCTGATGATAGGTGGGCTATAGGCTGATCACTCACACTGACGGTCTCACAAGTATGCATGCCTTCTGCAACTGCATCTGCATTTATTTCTACTTCACGTTCAAGTTGTACAGAAACTTTGTTCAACTTAGCAGTAGTAGGAATATCCCTCATCTCATAATGATCGACCGAAGACAAATCTGCACTATCATGATCATTATCACGAATATTCACTTTACCGTCAACTTCATCATTTTCAAACTCTTTAATAACAGAAGTAGACAATTTTGGTTCCTCCTCGCAAATCCTAAAAGGTTTTATAACTTCACTCTGACTAGTAACACCTTGTAAACTTGTAGGGTCAGAACTGGACTCTGAAGCAATAACTCTATTCTGTGACACTCTATTCAACAATGGCTTACCAGTTGCAACTACAGACTTCTTGACCAAACCGTTATCGTCACACAATTCGGAGTCATGCCTGGAGTTTACATTTAGCTTATCACTGAACTTGCTCACTGGTTCACAGTTCACCTTCGTATGCACCTCTTGCAAACGTGTAAAACACAACCGTGTTTGTCTTGCATCTTGCAACTTATCTGTTGAGGATGTACTACGAAACCTGTTACACTCACTAAGTTTATATGCATTACTAGACATCATGGAGCCTTCTCGATATCCACCTCTCTGAGGCCTATTCGTCATCAATGAGTGCGTTTTACCCTCAGACTGCTCTATTCTAGGGGTTGGATTCTGTATACTGGCAAACTTGCTATTAGATAGACTGATGCTATCTTTTACTAGTTTCAGGATATCATCAAATTTTGGCTCGATACCCTCATCCTCCATACGGGAGCTTATCTTCACCCACTTCCTTTGCAGTCGAGTAGGTAGGTGTCTTGCTATTACTTCTAGTATAAAACTCGAGTTGAGGTCACTCATGCAATTCATCGAAGTCAAGGTATTCTTATAAGTCATAAGATTATCTAAAAACTCAGTAAGTGCCTTGGAGTCATCTTGAAGTTGACTGCCGTTACCTATGACAGCTTCGTATAATTTCCCTGCAATCATCGAAGGTCTTCCAAACCTTTGACGTAATATGCTCATAGCCTCATCGTAGCCCTCTTTTGGCTTCATAAACTTACAGCACTGTATAGCTCTTGCAGCATCTCCAGTGCAATACCTCATCAAATACATCAATTTCAATTCATCACTTAATAGAAAACTATTCAACTTGATCTCAAACTCCTTTACAAATTGTAAATAATCAGCTGGGTTTCCATCAAAACATCGTGGTTCTAAATTAGGGAGTTTGATGTTCCTATTATCCCTGAACGGCGAAACAGTAACATCAACCATGTCATGCTTAACATCAGACACATCGTTACAATTAACAGACAAGTCACCATGACTTACTTTCCTGTTTGCATCCAAGACGCTCTGTCCCTTCTTTGACCCAGGCATTGTTGAACTTGACCCAATTCCAAAAAAGTTCCAGATATTGCTTGTTCAAAGAGGACTTGACCGGCACCAGGAAAAATGAAAGGCGACTATCGAAACTTTCACCAACTGTTTGAATCTGCCAGAATCTGTTTCATCGTCAGAAACTGTCAGTCACGTCTCGTAAACCGTTAATGCCCAGCTCTTGCTACGTTCGGGCTCACGCTGTCGCTTGAAGTTTCTCAGAAACGCTTAGTAATAACGGACGAAAAAACCAAAACACCAATTGTTGACATGAGTATTCTGTATTGTTACACCAACATATAAATCAGGTATGACTAAGGTCTGTGAACAAATATTACAATAATAAATCACAATATTACTTCTGACGATGTTTTACTCTTCTTTCTGAACAGCGACCGATGAGACGATGACTGTCGTATTGATGCCTCCACGAAAATTGGGGAAGTTGATTTTGAGCAAACAACCAAGAAATGATCGTTCAATCTTCAACTACATTGACAGTACCTTTTTATTCTACTTCTGTCCTCTTCGGTATTCTACCAGGTTTTCACAGTGAGTCATCTAGCAGTATCATACTTTTCATGTGTTTATGCTGAGCTGCATTATTTAAGTTGATATCAAGGATACTTACCTTGAGATTAGTCAGTATGTACGTGTCACTGAGCGATTCCCGTATCTCATAATCTTAAAATACGGATGACAGGTTGTATCTAAAAGTTTTAAAATATTTCACTTCAGTTTATCAAAGGCACTAAAGCCATATAATTATTATAGAGGTGGAAAGACTGAACTTCGAGATATTTTTGAAGGAAATGGGTTTTTGGGTCCATAATTTTGGACGTGATAATTGACACATTTTTTCCCGCCTAGATTTGTGGCGGTCATTGGAACTGCAGCCTATCAGATGTTTTATTGCTGACGTCTGGGAAGGTATGTGCATGTCTCCTGCTCTCTCTAAGTATTTCAATGTTTTTTTCATGGAATTACAGGAGGGGCCTTTCAATTTTATCTATAGAGCCATGGAATATAACGGGGTACAAGAACAACATGCAGATAAAGACCACATACAAAACGGATCCGTAAGCACCGAATCTGAATGCACGAATAATGATACAGGTTAGTTGCTACCAGAGTATTTGCCATATTTTCAGTTTGCGGCGATATCTCCAACTACATGCTTGTCCTAAAGGCAATCAGTTAGGAGTGACTTACTAAGGTTACAAAGTTGCAGAAAGTAGTGTTTTGATAAAGTTTAATACGGTTAATTTTGCTCGGTGAAATTCACCCTACAGACGCACATCGTTCATGGTGATCTGCAGAGTATGAGCACTTGCTTAGAGTTGTCGATTTTGATAACTACAAACCTGAAAGTAGGGCTCGTTCCTGTATTGACTGTGCACAACTTTCAGAAACACTGGGTTAACAAACAGGGTTTTCAAAGGTGTTTGTTCGTATACCACTTTGACCAAGTTCGGCATTTCATAGTCCTTAATGAAATTTAATGGAAGCCTTAACGTTTTGGAGCCCATAAGGGATGGAATCTTAAGTTCATTAGGTTCTTTAATTCGCCATTTCTATCTTCATGGACAAATTTCTGCACTCGGTATTTAATTTTCTCATTTCCTGGCAGGTTAGTCTCCTCTACTGAAAATCCGTTCTAGATTTTCCGTACTTTCTTTTTAGTACTACATTAAGCGATTTCACATTGAAATAAGTGTATTTCGTGCAACAGCGATACAGCACTAATCACTTGATTTTCTGAGCTGGATTTCTTCCTCATAATCATAATATCAAATTATATTTTGTCGCACTCCCTAATTTCTACTTGTATACCATTAATACACGGAATAACTAGTTTCTCGACTGAACAGTTTTCAAAATAAACACACAAATTCATCCTGATTAGTTTTTCCTACCACATTTGTTACTGAGTATTCATAAAACCAGTCTCCTGTTGAATTCTTCGCCAACAGATATCACTCGTCCGAATAGTGCTGATAGTTCGCAGCAGCAGAATACTAATTCATGTCAAAGTTCAAGTGCTGCCATTTCAGTGGAAGAGCGTTTACGAAGAGTGCGTGCTGCGGAGCAGCTCAGGCAGCAACAGAGGTATGCCGCATACGTTGAAGCCCAACGCCAAGCGGAAGTGGCGCGAATGCGTTTACAAGAAGAACGTAAACGTAAGATTGAAGAAATGCGACAAAAAGAACAAAAGCGTCGATTAGACGCCTTAGAACGTCGTGCAGCCCTGGAGATGTCAAATCAGGTAAGAGCTTAACACATTAATTTGCTACTAGCGTTAAGAACACATTCAAATGCCTCATTATCAGTGATTTCATGTCCTTAATTCTCTTTATCCGCATCAACGATTTATTGACACGGAGTCATTAGTCATCTGTTTATACATGTGAACAGGCCACAGCACAACAAATGGTAAATACTTGGGAAACTATCTAGGCTAGAAATCGCTTGCTAATTGTTTTTCAACGTATTCTTCGTCATTACATTGATATATTCCGAATACAGTATATTAACTTAAGTGGTACAAAGAAAGTAGGCAAAAGCAGAAGCAATGGTATTTTAAGGTAACGTTAAAGTTTTTGATTGCGTCACACAATCAAAGTACCGAAACTACTTACGCAATATGCTTTAAAATACCACTAGATGTAATATCAAAAGTAAAGGTTCACCGATGAATACCATCAACCTATGTCTTTTACTAAGTGTCCCGTGATATCCGAATACTCCAGTTTATTAACAGCGGTGTGCATTCCCATGCATTTTGCATATGACCACAGTACTTATTGGGTAATGATAGCAAATATTGTTTTCCACTCATTTTATCATGTTCTGGTTAGGTTGTCGAGTTTTGCTTTTCACTTAGCTTCAGATGCTATTATTCGCAATTGGTCTTTCCTCTTTTTGAATCGTTTATACCTATTTCTACTAAGTGAATTGATATCGACGGCTTCGTGCCATCCATTAATTAGTAATAACAATTTTTAATTGATTCAGGAATTCCTGATGCTAAGTTTCTATAACGAAATCCTAAGGTTGTTACGAAATTGTACTCACACTGCAGAATCATCTGTATTCATCAGTATCTGTAAACTACCTTAGTAGATGTCTGGAATCAAAGGTTATATTGTGAGGTATGGAAATGTGGCTTGTTTGTTAGGCGCTCAAGTTCCAACCACTGTGCAATCCAGGTATTGCGATTAGTCCTCATAGAATAGATATAGCTCACTGCCAACTGCATGTAAGTACAATTGGTTAAGAAAACAAAGTGCGTAGCATTAGTATTTTAGTCAAGGTGTGCAGATCTGTAAGATATCTTCACAAATTTACTGTTTTCTTAAGTTTGTTAATGTTCACTTCCCAGCCAAATTGCTAATGCTTCCTGTAAAATTTCCATTTTTTCAGGCACGAATTGATGCTATACGTGAACGCTCTGCAATCCGTTTTGGAAACAGTACCACTGGCCGCAGGCTTGCAGAAAAGAGAAATTGTGGACGCACGGCAAGCGCTTCTCCTTCACTGGGTGTCACGAGGAATCCAAGCAGCCTAATGACTGCTTCTTGTGTAGTGGCGTTTGGTAGTAGTTCCCCCAGATCTATATGTACGCAACCAAGTCCAGCAGCTTTACGTTTGAAACAGACTTTCGAAGCACGACTAGCTAGCTATCTTACTGGGCGACATAGCGGGTGCTTTTTTACAGCAACTGCAACACCATATTATTCGTGCTTTATAGATCCATCACATGTACCTCGGCCCCGACCTGTGTATATAAATCGAGGCTCAGTAATCGAGGTGTAATGCAGTCTAGGCGAGCTGCCTCAGCTCATGCTTCTGTTTTACGCCAGCATAAGTCATCATTCACTCGGGTTACTCATGCTCGACGTCAGCAAACTCCTCTCGCTAACAAAAACACTGTTTTCAAGTCCGGTCAATCTGTCAGCACTAAAGACTCGAAATGCCCCAACACTTCCACAGTTTCCGCTGGGCACAATTCCGAGTATACCCAAACCAGTGAAGGTTTGTCCGCACCCCCCTCGTGCCTGCTACTCCTGCATCAGAAAAAACATTTTCCATGAAACGGATTATCATTTATCATGCATGCTGCTTCCTATATCTCTTTCATAAGCTTACGTATATGTTTACCCTAGCATCCAATTCGTGGTGAAGCTGCTCATGATTTTCTGCCGCTTTTCTGGAACTAATATATATGCATGTTACGTTTATAGGTGTAAAAGTGTGTGTGTATGTTTGATTTCATCATTATGCCAGGAGGGAAAATTACTTTATAAATTCACCAATAAATCCCTCACTATTTTAGTGATTAATTTCGTCTGACATGGGTTTGGTATAGAAACGATGCATCCTAATTTGCAAATCAATTTTTCATCCCAAACTTTTTCTGTGTAACCTGTGCGTATAACTTCGGGACTGAACTAAATCGACACTTCTCATAATCGTATGTGCAATTTTCCGCCTTGCTTCTATGATTTATCATTAAAATCAGTATAGTTTTATGTATAACTTACGGTGACTGACTAAAAATCCTGAGCTGTTGTTCTGTACAGGTGAAATAGGTGGCCTCTAGTGTTGTATAACGTAATACATTTACTATTTTAATTTATGCAGTGTTTATAGTACAGGATCTTGATATTTATGTTTGAAGTTAATCCTTCTAGTCATGATATTTTAAATAAAATGAAGTTAGTGCAAAATTCTGCAGTTTATCAGAATTTGAAGTTTAAGTGATCCTTAACAGTCTGTTAAGCAGTATAGATAGAAGGGAGAAATGCCTTTTAAGTCCCAAGAGAACTTTACCAATAGATGTAGATGTGCTACTTTAAGGAGTTGCTACGTATGTCAGCAAATATTGGGAATAAATGTGAAACATCTCTTTGCAATCATTTAACGCATTATTATTAATTCGCTATGGTTGACATGCTTATTTTCCACAATATATATATATATATATATATGTATATATATATATATATATATCTGCACAGATTTCGAACCCATTTATAACTGGTCCATTACCTAAGTAATATAACATTAGTTCATTCGCTTTTCGGCGTCCGTATATCATATGTGTTCGTTTGTGTACCAATAAAATTTTAAACAGCCTGCTAGTATAACTTTGTGCTTGTTAGTTATATCCCGTTGTGTTTCCTTCAACATAATAGTTTTTCTACTTTTATTTTGCAGTTGGTGTTTATTCATACTTTTTAAATGATTTGGTTTACAGTGTGCTAGTATTAACAGTGTTTTATGGTGTTTAATTTAGGTTAGATTTGGCCATATACATTATATCAACACAGGACACTTCTATATTTAATTGTCATTATCCTGGTTTGGAGGTGCAACCTAGGTAGATTCGGTTTATGGTCGTCCTAAGCATTGCTTGGCCTGGTATTCTTAACTGCTTAGCACGGGTGGGTGTGACAAGATGAGATTCGTTCTCTACATCAATACTTAGTACGATTATGTAGCAAAAAGTCATTTATCAGATAGCGGAGGCAATTATTTGAGGTCTCTGTACTCCCGTACACATCTTAATACTCTAGTCATTGTGCCCTGTTCACCACACATATTCCATTTTAATTCATTTAAGTTCATAATTGTTAAGGACTAAGCGACACTTGCATGTATTCGAATTGTTTTGAAACAGCTATGCATGCACTTTTATGATTGACTGGCTGTTGTTCTTGTTATTATATTTTGTTATTAGATTTACTGTACTTTTTCCTCAGTCTGGCTTTTTTCATCTTGTGTCCATTTTTGCCCAACATCTCCATCACAAGTCGTTCATTCAGTTAGATCATGATAGGTGTTTGGCTGCATGTTATGCTATACTGCCACCACTCTTAGAAAATACTTAAATGTATCTTTTATTGTTCATCTTAGTAGTGCCGAACAGATCCAATTCATCAAATGAATGTGATAAGATTGGTCGTCCAAATCATCGTGGCTTCTTGAATTCTCACCGACCGACCACACCCACGGTTCCTACGGATACTATACGACCTATTAGTAAGTTGTTACCTTGTAGAATTACTGCAATATCCATCTTAATAAATGAAAATAATACACAATATATTTTCCATTTTGATGTTGTAAAGTGTTTTTCCCTTCGTATTAGATGGGTTGGAAGTCTGGATAGCTCAGTGGTAACGTCTGTCCGTCAGTGGTATAACGGTTAGGACGCTCGCCGACCATACACATGGTCCGGGGTTCGATCCCCGGCCGCCAACGCACTCCTTTACCTCGCTAGGCTAGAAATAATGCTGGTAAAGAGGAAAGATTGGACATGAGGCTAGTAACTCTATCCTGTAAAAGTAAACAGCCCTACAGAAACTTCAAGCCACTAGCTTGAAGCCTTAGGTTCCACCGGGGAACGTGAAGGAAAAAAACAAAAAACATTCGATGGGTTTATTTAATATGACAAAAGTCATACAGTTTTAACAACTGGATAGAAGTTATAGTTAATAATTGAGAGTCCGTTGTTGTATTTCGTTGATTGTGCCACCGTTGGGACGTTAGCCTGGCTATCAAAGGTTGGGTTTACGATGCTTTGGTGTGGGCTGTATCGCTCTGCGCCTGTGAACCAAACAGGCTTATACACTAGTTGAGGCTTTTGTATTTTGGAGCACTCATCCACATGACTTTCCAACTTCCCCTCTGTCTCCAATGGTGAAGACTGGATCTTCTCATTCTTTTCATCGATATTTTACGGACACTCCGATTGTGTGAGAGTAGGATGTAAACAAGTGACCACCTTAGAAAATTTCTAGGAAAAGGTGTAAAATTTATGTATATGTTAAGGAGACATGTGGTATTCCGAGGAACTGTACGTTTGAACTGATTGCTAGACTATCATTGCAGAGCAGGTATCAAACTAAAATTTGCGCCTGTGACGCGTGTGTGCATTAAGCTTGGCTTGAGTACTCTGAATGAACGCATTTGACAAACCAGCGTCATTGCTTCAGTTGATTTGTATGGATAACGCTTGGATCTTAATTATCATACTCCAATTCTAACGAAATAAATGACAGTACCATTTTATTCTTCAAAAACTGTTGCTTTTGCTTTATTCAAATTCGTTAAGTGGAATAAATGTATGAAATTACCATACTGTTTATTAGTTTACAGAAATAAAAACCTGATAAAAATGTGCCAATCTTACCTTAGCTAAATTCTTATGTTCCGACAATCTGACTACCCCTGACCTGCTAGTTTGACCTATGTAGTTGACCTCTCAGTCATTGCATGATATTTTGTAAATTATATTATTTTGTCTAATTGAGTCAACTGGGTCGTTTAACCTACTCAGCTGTGCATTGCAATTGCTGAGTTTTTTTCTAAGTTACTTATCTTTTCAGGGTCAACCATTCTTACCTTAGCTAAATTCTTATGTTCCGACAATCTGACTACCCCTGACCTGCTAGTTTGACCTATGTAGTTGACCTCTCAGTCATTGCATGATATTTTGTAAATTATATTATTTTGTCTAATTGAGTCAACTGGGTCGTTTAACCTACTCAGCTGTGCATTGCAATTGCTGAGTTTTTTTCTAAGTTACTTATCTTTTCAGGGTCAACCATTCTTACCTTAGCTAAATTCTTATGTTCCGACAATCTGACTACCCCTGACCTGCTAGTTTGACCTATGTAGTTGACCTCTCAGTCATTGCATGATATTTTGTAAATTATATTATTTTGTCTAATTGAGTCAACTGGGTCGTTTAACCTACTCAGCTGTGCATTGCAATTGCTGAGTTTTTTTCTAAGTTACTTATCTTTTCAGGGTCAACCATTCTTACCTTAGCTAAATTCTTATGTTCCGACAATCTGACTACCCCTGACCTGCTAGTTTGACCTATGTAGTTGACCTCTCAGTCATTGCATGATATTTTGTAAATTATATTTTTTTGTCTAATTGAGTCAACTGGGTCGTTTAACCTACTCAGCTGTGCATTGCAATTGCTGAGTTTTTTTCTAAGTTACTTATCTTTTCAGGGTCAACCATTCTTACCTTAGCTAAATTCTTATGTTCCGACAATCTGACTACCCCTGACCTGCTAGTTTGACCTATGTAGTTGACCTCTCAGTCATTGCATGATATTTTGTAAATTATATTATTTTGTCTAATTGAGTCAACTGGGTCGTTTAACCTACACAGCTTGTCCCTCAGTATTATATATATATATATATATATATTGCATGCTAGTTTGTAGTGAGAAAGTATATTAAAACTGGCTTTTTGGCTATTGGGAATGTTGTTTACTCTGCATACTGTTTGACTTGACTATATACTTTTGGATTCTAATTGAAGACTGTTTAAATTTTGATTTCGGTTTTAGAAAATCTTCAAATGACCAAACGGAACAACAATGCCCGCATACCTCCCTTAATGTCTAAGTCGGTTTCTGGAGATAGCTTACATCAGCGTACTAGGGCGAAACCCATACTTCCGTCTAAACCCCGCTCACCCCCGACCAGCACATCAAAGACTCAGGTTAGTTTCTTTTAAACGACCCATACTATTATCTCCAGTATTTTTCATGTGTACCACTCTTAGTAATGAAATATTTACCACTGCTCCTGTCGTAATTTATTAGATTTTGTTTCTTAGTAAATAAAATAAAGTAAATAAATAGTGCTTTGTACGAAAAGATTATCCGTCTTTGATCAGAGGTATCCATGTAGTACAATATAATCAATGTTAATGCAGTTAGTCCTATAGTGTTAAGTGAGTAGGGAAAGCCCAACCCACAAGATTTTGAATTTACGCCAATTGAGAAAGCTAGAACATGTGTTAGTCATGCTTCCCCATACAAGTATTGCTACATGTAATCGGATTTGGCTGCTGAATTGTTGAGGGATAGTCAAATGAAAAATGGTGTCACTCTATGAGGCCTGTGAGTTGGAGCCACGTGGCTGGTGTAGAATGTCTGACTCAGTTCCTTGGAGCTTGGTTAATTACTACCTGAAGCTTTGCATTTTTCTGCGAAGTTCTCTGTCTTAAATCGAATTCACTTCCTTTCTATGAAGACTGGAGGATTCGTCTCATTTTAAGTGATGATACGAGCCGCTATGATGTGAATTCTTAAACATTTTATATTCGTATGGATTGTCATCCGAATCGAGGGAAGCAGGAAGATGGATCCCAGCGAGCGTCGAATAAGGTGAGGAGCGAAAGCTGCTCAACCGAAAATTGAGGAAAACTCTAAGCAACGACTGTAAACAGTGGTGGGCGCGAAAGATAAGGGAGGAGGGAAGGCGTCAGAGATAAGTAACATGAGGCAACTGTTTAGGCTTATCAGAGAAACAGGTGGCAAAAGGCAAATTATAAGAGACAAACTCCAGGAAAAATGGCGCCGCGATTAGTTTTCAGGATAGACGACTGGGGCGTTGAAAAGGACATTTTGAGGAGTAAGCTAACTGGCTTACAGCCTTGCCCAACTTACTGAGCATCGGATACCTCCTTGAATGGGATATAAACACAAGTCCTCTGTCCTTAACTGGGTAATGAAAGCTATATCTGGTCTGGGAAGAGGCGAAGCAGCGGGACCTGGTGCGATAACTCCAGAGGTGTTTAGGACAGTGGAGACAATTTACTGTCTGGTTTAACTAAGGTATTACGCATCACTTGTTCTTAGGCGTTTTGTGCTGCGTGTAGTTGAACTCAGAAAGTACATAAGGTGTAAACTGAGTCTTCTGTTATATATTAGTTTGTTTACAGAATATGTATTTCATATTTTTCTAAGGAGTTGGAGACGGATCTTACCAATCTTGCGCCTCCACCCGAGTCCGACAATTTAGAAAATAACACTCAAATGACAGATAATACTGCCTCTAATACGAAGCCTGCGGATAAATCTGTGCCGTCTGTCTCTGCAGAAGTTACAAATAGCGTGGAGCCGGCACCAAACGTTATTCCACAAGTAGGCCCAATTACGGCTGAAACTCATCGATCGGGAGAAGGCGCTGTTCTGCCTAAGAACGAGGCGGCGATTTATCGAGCTAAGTTGGTGGAACAACGTCGGTTAGCAAAAGAGCGAATGGAGGAAGAACAAAGGTGAGTGCGTGTCGTCTGCATTGCACATGTTTAAAGTCGTTTTTATCATACCAGTTCTGCACTGGAACCTTGACAAATCAGACTTATGTCTAAAGCTCTGTAAACCTACTACAATCTGATCATAAGTTCGTGAGGTGTCACCTGTGACCTAGTACAGGAAGGCGACTTACGTTGGGCGATTGAATTCCTTAATTATCTCTGTTACCATTTGTTATCCATGGCGTAAAATCTGCATGCTAATTAACAACTCTCCATTAAATATGTATGTGCGGTGCTAAACCTTCATCTGGTCATCTCACTTAGATTGGAATTGTCACAAGCGCCAGTTGTCTGGTAGTCATCGAACAGGTAAAACATACTCAAAAAGAGCCAACTTGCGCCAAATCATAAGAGGCGTGATCATACAGTGGCGCGTTTGAAGCTATTTCATTGACTAGCTGTATTCTTTGTGAAACAAGGCATACTTGAATAACAAATATTAAGAGGAATAAGCACCTGATCTCTCATGTGGATCAAAAGTAAAATGATGTATCTCATTATGTTTTGTAAACTTGAGCTTGTGTGTAAGAAAATGCTTTTCAATTGTGTCTATCTCTAGACGAATGGAGGAACAAAATCGTACAAAAAAAGAACAAGAAAGACTAGCTGCGGAGGAAGAGGAGCGTTTACGGAAAGAGGAAGCTCAACGAGCCATAGAAGCTAGGAAAGCTGCTCAAGTAATTATTTCGCTGTATTTTTCTGTTTTCTAGTTGAACTTTTCGTGTATTACTCTTAAAAATCCCTTTATGATGATAAATATCGTACAAAAGATTTGAATTTTGTAAAGATTAACGAGAATTTATATAGCTGTACTAAATAAATTTTGACCGTTTTTTACAACTCAGCAGTTTTGGTGGTAACGTATACCGTCTGGCTCAGAATGATGCGAAATGAAATTGCAGGATCATTAAGAGTCTGGTTGTAAGTGCATTCATTTGCTTCACATGGAAACTAGCAAGCAGATTTTTAGACCGATCCACGGGTAAATGTCAGCAAATGATAAAAAATCTATTTTTATATTGACAGTGATTTTGTTCTCTCTTTTTATTTTAGTATCTTTTTGAAGGTGCTACTATCTTTGATCATATTATTTTTCATAACTTTCGGTTCTCTACAGGCATAAAACACCACAACTTAGACTGATATTCAGCAGTTTTTAGGTTTGTCTATCGTGGAGTTGAAGTTTTTTAGCTTAAGCACTCGTCTGTGAGCTAGTGGTCCAAATTCCACTTCGCCTGGTTGAGCTTTGGTGACGGGATAGTGTCATCAAGTTCCGGACAGTAAGCGTGGCTCATAACCACTGGCATATGAAGAAATTTGCTCCGAGGAACCGAGTTCTAACAAGATGTTCGCCACCGTTAAAAGTATCCATATACTAATACTGTCGCATATTTTTAAAAGCGTTGAAGTACCTCTATGTCTAATAACTTTGTTGTTTTCATAACCCCTGTTAACAATATACTATTGTATTATCCTCTCGTCTTTTATTCTCTGAAACTATCAAGCGTCAGGCTGAAGAAGAACTCCTCAAGAAGAAACAGCAAATTGAAGAAGAGAGGGTGATGCTTAAAAAGAAACTGGATAGTATTATGTCCCGTGTTAAACGCCCTGTTAGCACCAGACCTGTGAGTGCGGCTGATTTACCTGCCGCCACCATTGGCGAAATGGATAGTTCAATCACATCCGCACCTGCTGTTAACGGTACTCAAACCGTTAACTCGAAGGAAGAGGTCACTACTCAAGACCTGAATGCCGTGGCGAATAATCTCGTCACACCCACAGTCAACAATGATAAACAGGTAGAATCTCGGGTAAGTTTATTCGACATGAGTGTATTGATAACTTCACACATTTATTCCCCTTTATGAATTTTAATGAAACAAGGACAACAGTTTTTGCAGAATAAGATGGTACCATCGTCTATTTCGCTGCCTTCTCATCAGTCACTTGCAGCCTGTATAATTTATTAAGTTTATGTACAGAAAAGTTTTAACATGCCTGAAAATTTTACGCAATGTCAGTTGACAGGAGGTTCCAAACTTAAAGAACAATGCCCAGAAAATTACACTTAATATAGTTTTTACACAGGGAGTTCAAGTTTTGACAAAGTAAAGAAGTTACGTATTAGAGACGAGAGTTACGTTAGATGATGAGTAACTAATAGATTGGGTAACAATGTACTGAGTTCAACTCAAATCATAGAAAACAAAGCGCCTAGTTCAGCCAAGAGTTTTTACCATCATCATACGTACCTCTCATCTTTATTACTTAAGTCCTTTTTATGCATACATTTACTTTGTCTAAACTTGAACTTCCTGTGTAAAAACTATATTAAGTGTAATTTTCTGGGCATTGTTCTTTAAGTTTGGAACCTCCTGTCAACTGACATTGCGTAAAATTTTCAGGTATGTTAAAACTTTTCTGTACATAAACTTAATAAATTATACAGGCTGCAAGTGACTGATGAGAAGGCAGCGAAATAGACGATGGTACAATCTTATTCTGCAAAAACTGTTGTTTTTGCTTTATTTATATTGGTGACTATCGTTGTGGCTTATCCCTTTTTGCATTATTCCTTCGCATATCATCAGTCTAAGGGGAGTTGTGACATCTCTAATCTTGTTCAAGTTTACAGTTAGGCTACCAAACAGAGGAATCGACGCAGTGGTGTCATGTGCTAGTGGTAAATCTACTGGAAACTTGTCGATGATGATTTAGATGAGTATGTGTTGCTTATGAAATTTAACTTTATTATTAAACTGTTCTATCCATAAATACGCATCTGTATAGACAGAGTATAAGAGCAGAATATTATGAGGAAGCGTATTAAGTTGTACATGAAAACTTCTTGAGGCGTGGCTTGAAGTTTGCTTTATTCGCAATATTATTATGTGCAAAGTCAAATGAATTCAACTATCGGGCAGTATTGCCATGTACAGATTCAGTGAAGGTATAGTATGCACTATTTTCTAGTTTTATGAGGAAGTAGTTTCCGCACTTATTGCTAACTAAAGCGTGTACTTGGTATCAGACAAGAAGAACGAAGATTAAGTACATATGTTCATGACCCCTTTAAAGTCCCTCAGTCACTTCCGAATTTCCTTATGATACAATGTATTAGTGTTTTGAGAAATCTCGTGTATTTTTTGAACAATGCGTTTCACATGATAGTGTATTGGGAATAAATTTCAATGTATTATGTATATTTTTACTTTATATTTCGTTTTAAACAAATTTTTTTGAATAAGAATTAAGTGTTTAGTGTGGCAGTTGTGTGGTGGCATATTGTTGTCCGAAACAAATTTCGCGTGTACCAATAGGCTGTGAGCAACATTGGTTGCGTGAGAAAGTCAGTGATACACTACAGTTACCCGGACGGAAGTATGTGCAGTGAAATTTGGATCCTGTGTCCTTTAACTCAATGTCGAGTGTTTAACCCAATGAGCGTAAATGGTTTTATGCTTACGGTCAATCACACTCATAAGTGCTTTTCATTGTTAATCCAACAGTTAGATCCTATTGTAAAATTTATTGCCGTGCGTATAACAGCCAGAGCTTCAGCAATTCTGGACATGTCGAACTCGCCCTTCCATTTAACTGCCAAGTGGTTAGTAAATCTGTTAGAACCGCTACATCGCCAGTTAGTTAAATATAGTGTAAAAGACGTCTTCAACTTTGTTGGAAACATTAAAGATATGAACCTAGCAGACAAAATTATGTTATCGTTAGACTTAACATCACTACTTACCAACGTCCCACCTGTAGAAACTGTCGACTACATATGCGAGCGACTCGCAGAAAAGAAAATATAAATTGGGATCACACCATGAAAATTGAAAGAATTACTGCTAAAATGCACTATGAACGTTCAATTTGTATTTAATAAAGAGTATTACCGCTATGGATTTTCCCCTTGGTTCCTTATTAGCTGACATATTTCTATCTAAATTGGAAAATGGTCCTTTAAAAGATATACTAAACCAACTCGATTATTATTGTCGATATGTTGACGATTCTTTTATCATTTGTAACAATAATTTGGATATACAACACCTGCTCCAGTCTTCAATAAGGTACACTCAGCTATTAAATTCACTTGTGAAGAGGAACTCCAAGGTAGTATTCCGTTTCTGGATGTTCTTCTTACAAAAAGAACAGACGTTACCTTAAAGAGAAACATCTATAGGAAAGCGACGTGAAATGGACAATACACTCACTTCCATAGCTTCATACCTATACAATATAAGCGCAACCTAATTCGTTGTCTTAGTCATAGAATTAGACGCGTATGTATCGACGATTGTATTGAAGATGAAATAAGAAATCTTACAAACGCCTTGCTACAAAACGACTATCCTACCAACTTTGTAAAGAAGTATATCCATGAAACTACACAAAACAAACTAAGCGAGACACAGACAAGTAAGAAAAAGCCTTACTTAAATGTACAATTCAAAGGTGATATAGCCAGTGATATATTAAACCGTAGATTAACAAGATCAATTGAGAGAATTTTTAATGCCGCAAAACTACATATCAGTTTCTCAACCAAACCGATATTGACACTGTGCATTAAAGATAGATTACCCAAAATATCGATATCAACGTGGGTATATAAATTCAACTGCTCCTGTGGAGCTAGTTATATAAGTCGTACCCAAAGGAATTTATCTTAACGCACTCGGAACATATTCCTGTTTAGCTTGGGAAAAGAGCAACCAAATCATTAACTAGTGCAATTCTGTCTCATCCAGTAGATAGCGAACACAGGATCAAAATAGATGAGTCATTTACAGTTATGTATCGAGTACCGAACAATCTCCCCAAAGGCACACGATTACGCCTCCCAGCCATAACTGAGGCTTTAGAGATTAATAGAGAGAGACCAGACCTATGTGTACAGAAAAAACTTGTTCACTCTCTTTGTCTACTTTGGTCACCAGGATCATAATTTTTCGTACTATCATTATCATGTCTTTATTATTTATTTCACCACCCAGTTTGTTCCACTTCATTGTTACCCTTAATTTTTGTCAACCTTTATGATTTTATACTAAGCCTACAATTCTGTAACATCTTATTACAATTTACAATTCAGCCTCTTTATTTTATCATTAGACATTATCGGTCAGCCCTCACATTCAGTGCGCGTTTGTTAATGTGTGTTTTTATGTATTTTGCGGTTATCGCATTTCTAGAACCCCAATGACACTTGTATTCTGTTGACTATAAAACAACACTATATCACTCAACTGTTTATTCACACTTCTGACTATACACCCTATACACATTTGATTGACTATGTTAACTAATGGACTATCATCTCAACTTACACATGCACCCCAATACAGTTTCTGATATTATTTTCATTTGCCTTTATTGGCTATATGTACTCTATTATTCATGGATTTATAACTGTAGAGCCTGAAGAAGAAGTTATCGAAAACAATTGTTCGCTCGAAATCTTGTTTTTGTTTAAAGTTCTATCTGTATCATTTATCCTAGTTATTGTGATTTAGCAGACCTGTTTTTGTTTCACTTGTATGTCATTTGAATTATAGTGACTAAAAGTGAACAACTATTTACTGTGTTATCAAACTCCTGTGGTATATTCGTTAAATAACCGTTCTTTTCTCAGTTTGAGCACCAGATAGTGAGAATCATAAGAAAATCCAAAGAAATATTCAATTAGTAATCCGTTATTTCGATAATCTGAATAGCCTGTTCACTCTTATTATTTGTAACAACTTTATTTATTTAATCTGCTTAAAATGGTGCTTGAAATTTACTTATTCACTGGTTATTATATTCTTGCAATCAGTTTATATCAGCTAATCGAGAACGTGATATTTGTACCTCAACTCGAGTTGTATCTCAGAGAGATGTATATGGAGAAATTTACAAAAAGAAAATGAGTGAAGTCAAATTAATTCATTATTTTTCGCGTGTTGTCTAATTTCAGTCTACGTTTGAAATACCGAATACTGTTGTACGCCCTCCGTCAGAGAATGATACTGAAATTCGTGCCGGAAGCAGTTCTACGGACACAGAAGAGCCTCATCCTATTGATTCACTAACGTCTCAAATTAGTTCACTGGAAGTAAACCAGAATACTCATCAAACTGCACAGGTCAAACAACAGTGTGCTAATGCACCTATCTTCAAGTCTGCCCTATTACAGTCTATGCTTGGTGGAGGTCGTTTGGCAACACGTGCAAAGGATGCTGTAGCAGGTTTAAGGTATTGTTTCCTGTTACAATAATCTATGCATATTTTCCTTTCAATAGGCTTCTGTAGTGCTTTCTTTATAGCTTATATAAAATATTCCACATTCTGACTTCATTGAACAGCTGAATGGTAAACTAAGTAGGAAAAATTCGTGAGTAACTGTCGGCACGAATCATTTTTACTGCCTGTTCCCATTGCGTTGTCTGCGTGTTACACTTTTAGGCATTTCAACGCGATAGAGTTAAACTAGAATTATCATGTATCCCTAGTGGTATACACATCGTATATAACTCTCAGAATTACCACAATTAAAATCTTCCTAGTTATAGCAAGTTTGCTGCTTTCATAAATGTAATGATTATTTGGCACATTCGTCTACCTTTCATTGGTGTATTTATATCTCTTGTTTATCAGTTGCATATCAGCACACTACTCTGTACCCACTTTGATTACTGTTCGAGGTAAAAAATCAGCATGTAGATGACGTCCACCTCTTGTTGTAGTATGACGAACAAATTGTGCCAACCACAACCACAAAGATAGAACACACATTCCATGCTTTAAAACTGGTCTCCTTATTCACAGATGCTGTTTATCTGTTGTAATCGATTCTCGTCTATTGCAAAAGAATATAGATGTTATATAATGTGTCCAGTGGATATCCCGGTTTACCATCACAAAGTTAATTTTCATTTGTGCTGGAAGAATGTATCTTTTTTCTTCAGTGTTTAGTATGACATAACTTTTTAATAAAGTTTTTTATTTTTGGTATTTACCAGTAGTTTTCATGTACTATTATTTTCCAAATTATTATTATTATTTTGTCTTTTTAAGACGTAATCCACCTTCAGTAAATGAAGATGCTCTCAAATCCAATATTTGGCGTATACCTAATAATCAGGATGGTGCTTTACTTAACAATACTATACATGAGGTCGACGAAGATTCACTTACAAAAAGTATTGTTTCCGGTAAGTCTGTCTCAATGTATTATTCTAATTTGTGAATGGTTACAGCTTCCACGTTGTTGGACGCTCTTGTACACTCAAAGTGTATCTAAGGCCTCCACCAAATTTTTCCTACCTGCATGTGTGGCTATACGCAATTTATAATATCCCAACTAGTAACTTGAGATGTCTCTAAGCAGCTGCATATCTTCAGCAGTTATGAGGCGAAAAGATTAGTAGTATCGAAGATCAATATGGTTTTATTGGATATTATAAGTCACAAGGAGTGGATCCATCTGCGCTATGCATTGAGGACGATTTTGAACCATATCACAATTGTCCCCAACCATTGGTGTTTGTCGCCTCGAGAAGACCGCAACCAGGAAGTCTACATCTTCCTACGTTTTTTTCTTCACATTTCCAGTAGAACATAGGGCTTCAAGCTAGTGGCTTGAAGTCTCTGTATCGGTGTTTATTTTTACAGGATAGAGTTGCTAGCCTCATGCCAAACCTTTCCTCTTTACCAGCATTATTTCTGGCGTAGCGAGGTAAAGGAGTGCGTTGGCGGCCGGGGATCGAACCCTGCACCACGTGTATGGTCGGCAAGCATTCTAACCGCTGTACCACCGACGCACATGTTTCTACGTGGCTGGCTTAAACTAACTGTTGTGCGAGGACAAATAATCGCCGAAGACATTGGCGCTATGTCATGAATTGGCAGAAGTTAGAATTGATGGGCTGGCCATAGGATCGGATCCTAATGGCTTGATAGTCTACGAGCTCGCTAGCCTTGTAACCAGAAGGTCCTGGGTTCGAACCCCGATGAGTGCGTACTACTTAATAGCCCCAAACTAGGACGGAACAATGGTTCTCCAACCAATATCAGCTCATGATGAAATCCTGTAACCAATCAGTCAAATCCCCTACAAACCAATACTTAAATGCTGTGGATTTCATTGACTGATACCGTTTTTTGGTTTGACCACCTCTGACCCTTTGTTATTATTGATATAAGTATAAAACTTGTACACTGGTATAGCATAACTCCATTATAGATAAGATTTTATTTTGATAAATCACTCAGTGTTATACAGTAATATTAACTGATGGGGTTTCGAACACAAACTATTGTTCATAATCATATCAAGTCACTTCATATGTTGATAAGATCTTATCTGTAGTGAACCTATTTCAGCTAACATTGCCAGTCGAGGAAGGCGATGGCTAGGCATGCGTAGCACATTTCCTAACCATCTCAGTCTTTGTAACTTCACAGCCTCGCCTATTGATTTCCCATCTTTACCTAGCACTCAATGCTTAACCTCAATATTGCTCACCCTATTATACCACTTAACATGGGAGACAGAACGCAAGCACCTATAATCAAAGACAGCTAACCTTTTCATGTCTTCCACTCTCAATGGCCAGGTCTTACAGCCATAAAGGAGGACGGAGTGAAGTGACTCCTGAGCAGTTTGGTCGATAGCCAGCCAGATATCACGTCTACGCCGAAGATGGCGTAAAATGGCATATGCGAAACAAGCCTTCTGTATCATGCTGAGAGTTCATCAGTGATCAACCCGTTGGGGCTGATGCGACTCCCCAAATAAGTGAAGTGGTCAACACGCTCTACCACTTTACTCTCTATCTTCAAGCTAGCAGTTAATGTGATCCAGTCCTGTTGCATCATCTTACAATTGGCGGGAGCAAATTGTATGCCAGACATTCTCAGATCGCAGCTCAAAGTGTTCAGAGGACATCATTTAGTCAGCGTCTTCACCTAGAAGGACTATATCATCTAAGTCAACGAGATTATTCTCTGATGACAAGTCAATCCCTGAGTTCATGAAGTCAGTTAGGGTTAAGTCCATTAGTAAATCTATGATGAAGTTAAACAGAAATGAGAATAGTCGGCATCCCTGATAGACACCACCGGTTGTCAAATGGCAACTCTAAGTAGGCTCTCACCTGGCTGACTGCATGAGTTCGAGTAGAGTACCTTGATCAGAACAATGTATCTTCTTGGCATTCCCGTCACGACCAAACACCCTCTAACATTCAGTACCTCTCAGTCGACGGAATCGAATTCCGCTTTCAGTTCAAGAAATATAACGATTGTTGGACTCCGGTAAGTATGCCTATATCCCAGAATCCGTCGAAGAGTGATAGATATGATCAATGCACCCTCTTCATGGTCTAAAGTCTGTCTGGTTCTCTCGTGTTTGCCTCTCCTGAGCGCCACTTAATCTACACAGGATTATTGAGCCTAGAACTTCAGACACCATATTAGTCAAGCTAATTATCCTGTGACTATCACAGGTAGACTTGTCCCCCTTTTTTGTATATCGGAATAATCAGTGACTTGCACCAACGTGACGGGACTTCCTCTGATTCCCAGACGCTGCCTAGTACCTCAGTTAACGAAGACAGTAAACTGTCTCCACCGTACCTAAAAACTTCTAGAGTCATTCCATCGTCCTGCGGCTTTGCCTCCTTTCAGACTAGTGATATCCTTAGTAATCTCACTTAAGGAGGGTGGACCTGTGTCTATATCCCACTCAGGTAGGTTTTGGATGTCTGGTAAGTTGGGCGTTGCTGTAGGCCAGTTAAGCAACTCCTCAATGTGTTCTTTCCAATGTTCTAGTCGTCTATCCTGGGAGCCATTTTCCTACCTATTTCTCTGATAAGTCTAAATAGCTGTCTGTTATTACCAATCGCTGGTGGCTTTTCTACCTCTTTCTCTTTTGTCGCCCACCACTGTTCACGGTCATTGCTGAGAGTTCTCGGTTTTCGGTTGAGCAGCTTTCGCTCCTTATCGTATTTGGAGCTCGCTGGGATCAGTCTTCTTGCGTCAGTCAGTTCGGATGAGATGGTAGAAATCCAATGGCTTTTACTAACTTTAGGTTACAGGTTATTAACAGCTTTTACAGCTGTCTCATCAGCTTACTGTATGTTGTGACAGGCTACTTGTCAACCGCATATACTCGTTTCGCTATCTCTTTCTTAAGTAGGGACTCAGTGTCCTGATCAAGTCGGGGGCGTAACTGCCTCGCTACCAACAGTTTTATATGTCCGTTTAGTTGTAAGCACAAACGTGCACCACTCAGGGCGTGATCAGAGTCTATGCATATGTTCCAGAAGGAGTGGCAGTCTTCTACTGACCCTTATCAACGATAGCCTATCGGTATGTGGTCTATTTGAGTCCAACGTTGATTTGGTGATGGAGGTCACTAGGTTAGGCAATATCTCTCTTTTTGCGTAGAGTTAGTGCCTACTAGGAACAGATGATTATTGGAAGGGAACTGTATAAGACGTTCACTATTGCCGGTTCGTCGGCAGGGAACTTCGTACGTACCACCAATATACTTCTGAGTCTGTCATTACTTCCCTACCTAGGCATTGAAGTCGCCTGTTAAGCCAACTATATCTGATCGCTTTGCATTCTGCAGTAGACTAGACAGTTTCTGGTAGAAATCATCCTTTAATTCATCCGAACCGCAGTCGGTCAGGACATAAGCGGAGACTAGGAAAAGATATCTACGGGTAACGCCGTCTTCTCTTCTTCTAACGGACGCGTGCAGACGAACTGCACACATACGACTATATACTGGGATTCAGTCATGAAGGGGTCTTAAACCCTGACACTGAGTGCTATACCAACACCTGCGTGTCCTCGCGAACTATCAGGGAAATCTCTTGACACTCTTGAGGTGAAATTTGCAGATCCACCTTGCTGGCCAGGTGGGCTTTCGTGAATAACCACACTCGGGTCTTGTATATGTGTCTTCGAAACACAATATACATCCATTACTGTAGATGTCAGAGGACTGGCTAGTGATGCCTATTGTCCGATTTGGCAGAGGGTCCTGATGTTAAATACTCCAATGTGAAGTTGGTGGCGTCGCTTTAAGACACCATCGGAGTGTTTTTCTAGCTCTCGTTGCTATTAATGGTCACAGAATAGGACGAAGATGACTGATTAGCCTGTGAAATAGTGTTAACAGTATGATGGAAGCAAGATGATGAGGGTGACGTAGATAACGGAGAGTGATGACCAAGGGGGCTCTGTGTGCTTTTGGAAGTGTGTGGGTGGTTTTTAGTTCCCAGTTGCCCACACCGTGAAAAATGATAACTCCTTGAGGTTTCTGAAAGGGTAACTGAATTAGTGTTGCATGAACGCAGGACCCTTTAACATTCAGTGTTCCGCATTTGTGTATGTGTTTTTTGGTAATTGTATTTCTCCAGCACCACTGATTATAACTCATTACCTCCACCCCGCACACCAGTTGTCTATTCACATTTTATCTTATGTTCTGAATGTGTGTACATGTTATGTACTTTTGATTGGCAATATTAACTGACAAATTACTAGACGCGTAGTGTACCGTTTTACTTTATGCTCTTCAAGTCACGGTCACTGCTAATAAAAATTTGCAAAACACGATTTTCAAAAGCATCTAATGCGGGTATTCAATTTATCTGAATATTTTGAAACAGGCGATAGTTAATAGGATGGAACATTGAATACCGAAAAATGCATTGCTTTTTTATCTACTGTTTCTTGCATACGTTTCATCTTTCTTTGATAAATGTAGTTCAGCGATCATTCCAGGACGCATCGCAAAATGGCCACGATAACCTACCTCATTGCAACGGATCAAAGTAAGTGCGTACGATGACAGGTAATGATTATTTTCTCTCCTGCTTTTTGTATAGTCTTTGTCTCACTGTTAGCGTCAGTTGTTCTACTTTCATTTTTGTTACTATGCCATCGAAAGCAAGACAATCAGCGGATCTTGTCCTTACTGTCTTGTGCTAGGATTTGTTAACTTTGTTGCAAGTGCACGCATGGTGAATACTGCTTTAAACTTCACACAGGAAATACTGGCAAAAGGACTTAAGCGAGTTTAACCCCAGTGTTTCTTACTAATCAAAGTTTTAAGTCGAGCTTGTGGGTTACGCATCTTCAAGACCTCAAAAGCAAATATTCGCCGATCCTAGATGTTGTACTTATCATCAGTGGAAAGTATAATTATTTATTTTAATTATTTATTTTATTTTTTATTTTTGATTACAGCTTGACTCCACACCGTATTTTTGGTACAAGTGTGGAATTTTCAGCGTGGATATCGGTAGCCCAAAATTCGCAGACCGACCATAGATATCAGGTGTGCGTCGGCGTGGGCTCGAACCCCGGACCATGTGCATGGTCGGCGAGAGTCCAAACCACTGTGCACTTTGTAGGGAATAACTAGGCTACCATCATGGTTATATAGAGGTGTATGTTGTGCAGCAGATTCACTGTTTTAATCTATTCTAAAATGCATATCTAGTATATGATTGTGACGTAAATTCATCGCCTGGTTTTTTCCCAATTTGTATTTTGTATAAAACAATTTCCACAGTGGTATCGAAAATTCTATTACCTCTCAGCGGCCTAATGAAGAAGCTTCCGAACTCGAATCTATGCCTAGTCTTCCCTGTAAGTATTGTTGACTTGCAGTTATGTTATATATATATATATATATATATATATATATATATATATATTACTTGCAACTGCTAGTTCATTGATTAAAAGTTATTTTTTTATTATTATTTTATCCATCGCTTTTAGGAATGAACAGCCGTCTAATACCAACATAAGAAACTGCACCGTGATGGCGAGCCCCCTAGATTGGTGGCTACATTTCAAACCTGACTGATAAAATTCAGTCTGCACCAAATAGAGGACTAGACACATCACACTAGTTACTAACTAGTGTCCAATGAAAAGTATCTCTTCCATTTTTACCGCCTTTGTTGTCCACCACTGTTCACGGTCATTGCTGAGAGTTCTCGGTTTTCGGTTGAGCAGCTTTCGCTCCTTATCGTATTTGGAGCTCGCTGGGATCAGTCTTCTTGCGTCAGTCAGTTCGGATGAGATGGTAGAAATCCAATGGCTTTTACTAACTTTAGGTTACAGGTTATTAACAGCTTTTACAGCTGTCTCATCAGCTTACTGTATGTTGTGACAGGCTACTTGTCAACCGCATATACTCGTTTCGCTATCTCTTTCTTAAGTAGGGACTCAGTGTCCTGATCAAGTCGGGGGCGTAACTGCCTCGCTACCAACAGTTTTATATGTCCGTTTAGTTGTAAGCACAAACGTGCACCACTCAGGGCGTGATCAGAGTCTATGCATATGTTCCAGAAGGAGTGGCAGTCTTCTACTGACCCTTATCAACGATAGCCTATCGGTATGTGGTCTATTTGAGTCCAACGTTGATTTGGTGATGGAGGTCACTAGGTTAGGCAATATCTCTCTTTTTGCGTAGAGTTAGTGCCTACTAGGAACAGATGATTATTGGAAATGAACTATAGAAGGCGATGTAGAAGCAGTTGATGAATATGGAGGTTGGATGTCGGGTGCTGGTTAATGAGGGGAGTTCAATTGACAAGACTGTGAAGTTACTTCAATTAAGATGGTTAAGAGATGTGTTACGTATGCGTAGCTGGATATGCGATGTTAGGTGACAATGTCTGGAGAAAGATACGATTGACCTTGACGGCAGTGTATATTAAGGCAATTGATACATTAATTTGGTATACCTTATCTTTATTTATCTCGATTCGCACATCATTTGCGAATTGGTAGAGTATCACTACTTTCGATAGCTTGTTGGATTGTGCACAGTGTTATAATGTTTTTTTCACAGTTCTCTCCTTCGATTGCGTTTTCCAGTGCGCAAAACATATTGTCACTTTTCTGGATTCCTCTGCTGATATACTACTTATGTCTGACTGTAAGTAGTACTCACCGCATTAGGGTCTGGTTAGAAAACTGGTATTGGCGGTTAAACGAAAACATGGCTTCATCGGTGAATGAAATCCATAACACTTAGTTTGAAGCCAGCCACACAGGGACATGTACACTCTGACTGGTCCGGGTCTTCACGATGGTAAGAATCAATGGCTGGAGAGTGTAAGTGATATGGCTGAAAATCTTTCTCGTTGATAGTGCAGATGCATTCAGTATTTGGGATTTATAATTTCCAAAAAAATTCTATTAGGGTTTGTCATACCCAGTAAAACTATCGTTCTTCCACGCTAGTATTCTTTTCCCCTCACACTTTCGTTAATTATCTCTCTTAACTCTGTTCTCACGGTTTGTGTGCTACATGTGGATTGACAACTTGAACTGCTGCACATCTGTGCAAAGTTCTACGTTGAAACCAGTTGTTTAGTCAAAACTCGCCTTGTGCTATAATAAGTATTTTTGTCTTTTATTTTTTGTTTCTTTTCCAGGCGAGTCAACTAACCCTTAAAAACCGTGTATTGCAATTACCAACGTCAAGTATTTAAAGCTTTTTGAAATCTAGAGGAAACGCTTCCAAAACAGTGGCTTCTTTCTATGTTTATAACATACATTTTTTCATCCTTTTGCTCTCTTTTTTATACTTATTATGTTATCTTTTGATGAAATTATAAAAAAAGAGAATATGAAAATTGGTAATTCTCTGCACTGTTTTACACATCATCCGCGTAATTTTTTGTGCAGTACTTACAATTTCTGTTCACCGTGCTTACCCATCTACGTAATTAAACATACCTACTAGGTTAGCCTTTGTAATGAGTCGAAATTTCATGATTGCTTTTGATTAAATGAAGAAAACGAAAGCTAAACATGCTTTTCTCTGCTTCATTTCCTGTAAAGTGGTGGTCTAAATTTGACTCCATGTTCATATTTGAAAATTAACAATATTGTAATTTTACTTCTTGTTCTTCTTATACTTCAGTGCGTTATTCTCTATCTGATACTAATGAATAAGTCTCTTAGCACATCGTGTTTTACAATAATTTGGTTCTTTGAAACAATTGTGATGTATCTTTTCTTTTCAACCAAAGCTGTACTGTTTCTCTTTTTGATTAAATATTTTTTTGTTTTTGGTGTACCAGAGTTATCATTCATGTTGCTGAACACTACCGTCTTGTTTTCCCTCTTCAGAATCTACAAATCGCCAACGTCGTCTTACTCAGCCACTGTGTTTCTTCCTCCCCCCTCTCTCTCTTACACTCTCCCGGTACTGACAAATATTCTAGTGCTTAGTTGAGCAATGAATGAATATATATGTCTCGTATACTTCTCTCTTTTTGTATGTGAACTATCCTCACTTTTGTCTCATCTTAATCAGTACTACTGGATAATTAATTGACGTGCCCGTGGATTCATGCGTGTGTTTGCATTTTCTATTAATTGTAGGTTATAAAATCACTCTTCACACTTCCCTTCATTATATACAATCTCACTTTATCAACTTATCTTTTTTATTCTTGTTAGTAGTACTACTAGTGTAGTACTGCTAATAATACTTTGGTTATCTTTTCACCTTGTCATTTTCTTTATAGCTCTGTTCAACACTTATTTTCACCACTCTTTATACTAGAAAAGTGAGAAATAAAGATTAATTTTATGGAAATCATCGAGTTCACTCTTAATATATATATGCGTGTGTGGTAGTAAGTAATTCCATATTAGTTCGTTTGTTAAATGAATCACACACACTGGATGACGTTTCGAACAAAATTTATTGTTCATAACCATATCAATTATAATCACACGACTTCGAGTTTTATAGTTTCCTTTGTCCTCCTCTCCTATTTGTCGTAGGGGTAGTAGAATTTTCCAGATATCAGCGAACAGGTGATGAATCATTCTTATCACATGTATTCGATAAACAAAGCGTCTGTTATCAATCTCTCCCTATACCTTGTGATATTAGATTTTAAAGCTGTCATCCTATACCATCCTATTGTGTGGTTGTGTGTAAATACATGTAGTGCTATAGCTGAACTATTCTCTAGATTTTTTATCTTATTCGGGTCAACCATTCTAGATTTTGCTAAGTTTTTATGTTCGGCTAGTCTGACTGCTTCTGTTCTACCAGTTTGACCTATGTATTTGACGTGACAATCATTGCAGATAGGGTATTAGATAAACTAAATTGTTTTGTTTTAAAGGCTCCACAGGATCTTTTAACCGACAAAGCTTGTTTCTAATTGAGCTTGTGGGTGGTTTGAATGCCAGCCACTTTTATTCCTGGTTTGTTAAGAATTCTGCGTAAGGTTTCCGAGGTCCCTTCCGTGTATAGAAGCACTACTTATGAATTAGATTCCTTATTGTTAGTGTTGTCTTTAAACATTTAGAAGATGAAATTATTGAGTGAAGAAATTGTATTAATTTTCTTGGTTGATTATCACTCCCCCTTACCATGATGATAATGACTAATTATTGTTAACAAACCTATTGCTACAAGACTGGTAAAGTTTTTGTTTTTGTAATAAAAATCCTATGTATGTTAGAACCAGAGATGAGGATTTAAATGAAAAGTAAATATTTCTTCACTTGATTATTTTGCCGTTCGATGGTTATGCGTGGAGCTGCAATTTGGTCAGCACGTAATTTGATTCTCCCGGGTCCAGCATGTTCCGGGTGGAGTTTTGCATCCAGAGTATCCTTTAGTTTCTTCAGTTTGACAAGAATTAATATTCTTCTTAACGTCAGTTTCCACAAAGGCCTAAGTTGTCCTGCTTTGACAAGCTAACCAATCCTCCAATCAGTAGGTACCCCTGCTTCACTGCAAACTTTCTGTCATAGTAGTGTGCGGATATCCACCGGGGTCTCTGTATCTATTTGTAATGCTTCCAGAGGAGTTATGAACGTCACGCACTCAAGATTTCTGTTTTTATAGGTCTTGGTTGACACTTACTAGTAGTTCTGTGGATGTTGGCAATATTTCTGGACGAGTAACAGGTTGTGGTCGTTTCTGTAGTCATTCTCGTTGGTTAGTCCATTGTTTCTCCTCTTTTTGGTAGTTAGGCTTCCTTCACTCTTTCATTGTTTCCATTTGTGTTGGTCTCTTCTTTGATAGCGGCCTGGTTATCAGGTATAACGTTCTGAGGTCCCTCTTATATGCAGGCTGTTATACTTCAGTTCACAGTGTTCGAAGACTTGTCCTTGGTCCTTACCGGCATTCTTCTTTATTTCTTTGTTCAGTGCGTCGTAGAATGAACTCAGATTATCCTTCTCTTGTCCATCTTTGCGTTGAATCGTCTTCTCTTTTACCATCCTCTTCTCTACTGCTAACTTTCATATATGAGTTGAGAGCCATTCTTCGTCTTGTCTCTTCTTTCCTCCTAAAGTGGTTGTACATGCTTCTTTGGACATCATCTTCAGAGGGTTCCAGTGTTCTCCCAATCAGGTTTTCTCAGTAATGCCACGTAGTGTCTCCGACTTTGCTCTGATATTTGCAGTGAAGCTACATCCTGTAGTTGCATCTCTCAGGTTATGAATGTTGAATTGTGGTCTTTCTCCAGTTATTCTGAAAAATTTCAGCTTTACCCTGAAGGTTCCTTGAGCTAGATAATGGTCTAGGCTTGAATCTGCCCCCATTCTCGTTTTTGTGTCCAGCAGTCTGCATCTCTACGTTCTTGAGACTGAGATGAAGTCTTTCTGATTCATGTTGCATCCATCTAGTAAAACCCATTTCGCTTTGTCTATATCCTTGAGCTTATATACGCTGCCTCCAATCATAAAGCAATTGAAAATGAAGAAGTTTAAGAAGAGTCCTCCGTTCTCTTACGTTTTGCCGAGAAATTCCTGACCCGTTGAGTTCTACTGTGTCGTTTGCTACCGGTTTGAATTGCATTCATATAACCCACTAGAATTTTGATGTCTCCATCTGCTCAGGAGCCTGTCTATTATCATTTGCAGTTGTCTGTTATATTTTTCCTTTCGCCGTTGGTCTGAGTTGTCTGTGGGAGCATGACATGATATAATTTTAGATTTCTTACCATTTGAGTTACGTCTTGCTGTGGTTATCCTGAAGGAGTCTGGTTCTCACTACATGAGAACTTTCAGTGCTGTTGGTGACTTCATGACAGCCACTCTCCCAGTATGCTCGTGGTTGTCGTCTGTCTGGCGGAGTAGATTTTTTACTGTCAACTAAATAACTTAGAGAGTCCACTTCTATTACATCTGGTATCGCAGGTTTCGAACTTGGGACGCTTTGGATAACTAGATAAGATTGTGTACTGATGTAAACACTAGTTAAATTATGTACAACTTTGCATTAGCTGAAGATGAATTAATGTTAAAGATAAGCTTTAAAGAGATGAAGAAGTGTTTACTTTTTAGCTTTTAATTACTGCAAACCCTCACTTACAACCTGACTGGTGGGATTACATAGGGGAAACTATTTCGAAAACTCATGGTGCACACAGGCGGCAGAATTCGAAACATGGAATAGTATATGAACATGTTTTAGTCACTGGCAACCGTTTGAACTCATCTCCTGATGTTACCCCACTGCTTCGTGGATAAGGCTTTCAATGGGTAGCTCGGGGATGGCGCCTTAAGGCAACGATATGCCTCGGTCCGGACAAAGTCCTGGCCCTCGAAACTATGAGATAACAATTTCACGGCAGATTATGATTATTATATTATTGCTCCCACGGGTTCCTAGTGGAATATAGGGCTTCAACTGCACGTCTCCATTTGCTTCTGTCTTCTGCTGTACTTTTCACCTGCATCCATGTTAGTCCATACTCTTTCAACTCCTCTTCACACGATCCCCTCCATGTCACCCTTGCACTGACATCCCACTCGGCGCTTCCCTTTCGGGTTCCACTCGAGGGCCTGACGCGCGATGTCACCCATCGGCCTCCTCAGCGAGTGTCCAATCCATCTCCACTTTCTCCTGCATATTTGTTGGTTGGCGATTGATTCTTGTTTTGTTTGTTCCCATAGTTTCTTGTTAGCGATTCTTTCTAGCCTGGCCATCTGATCTTCAGCATAGAGCGAAGACAGTTGTTGATAAAGGTCTGCAACCTGTTGGAAATATTCTTTGTGACCCGCCCGACAAGTTTCTGATCCGTATAGAAGAACTGACTGACTTGACGTTTGTATTGAAAATCCAACGGGATTTGGTTGTTGATGCTGTTTTAGTGACGAAGATTCCCAGATTGGTTTCAGGTTGATGAATGTGTTTCACGCCTTCCCGATTCTCGCTCGATTTGACATCCTCGTCCGTTCCGACGTGCCTGTAGTTGAGACAATGCTCCCTAGATAAGTGAATGAAGTAACCTCTTTCAAATCCCTCCCGTTGATGGTGATTGACGCTGGATGTTGCTGCTGCTGTTGTTGTTGTTGGCTGGTTATTTTCATAACCTCCGTCTTGTCTATGTTCACTTGGAGTCCTGTCTTCGCCACCTGCTTCTTCGACCAGTTTGTCGGTTTTCGCTTGTAAGTCTTCGATTTTGTGTGACA